TGTGCCGGCGAGCAGTGCTCTGTAGGGCTTCCAGTGCCTGGTTTTTCGGAAGCACTTTCTTCAGAGGCCCCTCTGGGTGAATCTGAATCCCAACCTTGTGGTTAGGAGCCCAGCGCGTCACTGTCTGCACCACTCAGGCCGTTCCGAGGTAACACTTCAGGCTCATGTTCTTGGAAACCCAAGGACACGTCGTTATGAGTCAGAACCAACTTGAAGGCAGTGAGTTTGGTTTTTTTTTTTGTTGTTGTTGTTATCATCGCAGTAGAGGACTAAGGCGCATCTGACTCAAGCCATGGTATTTTCCATTGCCTCATATGCACGTGAAAGCTGGGCAGTGAATAAGGAAGACCGAAGAAGAGTTGATGCCTTTGAATGACGGTGCTGGTGAAGAATGCTGAACAGACCACGGACCGCCAGAAGAATGAACAGTCTGTCTTGGGAGAAGTACACCCAGGATGCTCCTTACAAGCAAGCATGGTGAAACCTCATCTTGAGTCCTTTGCACGTATAGGCCAGACACCAGGAGGGCCCAGTCCCTGGAGAGGGGCATCGCACTTGGCAAAGCAGAGGGTCAGCAGAAAAGGGGGAGACCCTCCACAAGACGGACTGGTGCAGTGGCTGCAACAATGGGGCCGAACACAGCAGTGATGGTGAGGAGGCGGAGGACCAGGCAGCACTGCTGTCCAGAGGGTCTCTGTGGTCAGAACCGACTAGACAGCGCCTAAAGACGTCACTGTGGTATTTAAGTGTTTAGCTGATTAACAGGTGTGGAAATGTGCTCTGTATTTCTTAAAGAGCTCTGATGGCACAGCACTTAAAGCATTCGGCTGCTAACCAAAAGGTTGGTGCTTTGAGCCCACCAGCCACTCCGTAGGTAAAAGATGAGACAGTCTGGCTCCATAAAGACTGACAGCCTTGGAAACCCTACAGGGCAGCTCTGCTCTGGCCTCCAGGGCCGCCAGGAGTCGGAACTGACTTGGTGGCAGTGGTTCAGTTTGTTTTTACATTTATGAGGTTCCCACCTGTCTTCAATGTGCCCTGGAC